TATTGCCTTCGGCCTCTGTGCTGTGTTTCTTTTTTTCATGACCTCCCTGCCTACTCTGCTGTCTTGGGTACCTTGATCTCGCTTTGCTGTTGCCTACGTTTTTATACGTCTGGCTGTCTGTCCATCTGCAGCCTCTTTGCCCTGTTTGCTCCGTTACTCCCATGCCCTGGTGCGCAGTGCCTGGTGCTGGTACGTTACCCTTTGATTTTTTCTTTCGGCGGGTGAGGGAAGGGCCCTCCTTTATTTTTCTGTTATTTTTGTTTTGTTTTATTTTGATCGGTGTCCGAGGGCCTTTTTTTTCGGTGCGATACCTGTTCTTTTCTTTCTATCATATTGTTTTCTTTTTCCGAGTGGTTTGTACCCTATTTTAGTTTTTTTATCTCGCGGCGTCGTATGTGCCGGGTTTTGAGACCACGGGCTCCCCATTTTTTGTGGACTATAGAGCTAATGTGAGAAACAACAACAACACACCTCCCTCTACACATCCCGTGTGTACGGGTTCTGCATGTGGTCACCATACGATTTCAGGGTGTTAACCCGGTCATGCAACCCGTACGGAAGGCCGCCAAGCGGTGAAGAAGTACACACATCGTGAAATGGGTCAGGTCGCGGAAATCTTGTCCAAGTGCGGCGAGAATAATAGCCGACAGCCCCTTCCGTCACAAAGATCATCCCCTTCTCCGCAGGGCACACTCTATTCACCAAATGTTCAACCGTTAGTCTAGTCAGCGCTGACTAGTCTAACGGTGTACCTTCATCTTACAAAAGATATGCTCAGAGCCCATTTGCACCCGGCAGGATCACATTTTTGGGTTGGTGATTCCTTGAGTACAGATCTCCGGGGACGGACCCCTCGCCAGACGCTGCCAGTAAAACTTAATGGTGTTCGGGAGAGTGACCAGTCGGGATTCGAACCCGTGCGTGCATCCTTCAGCTCCAAATGTTGAACCATTCGACATGTCTGGCGAAAAAAGGATTCACGCACGGGTTCGAATCCCGACTGGTCACTCTCCCAAGCACCATTAAGTTTTTCTGGCAGCGTCTGGCGAGGGGTCCGTCCCCGGAGATCTGTACTCAATGAATCACCAACCCCAAAATGTGATACTGCCGGGTGCAAATGAGCTCTCAGCATGTCTTTTATTCACCAAATGTTTAACCATTAGTCTAGTCAGCGTTGACTAGCCTAGACTAGACTAATGGTGTGACTGTATCTTACACACATTACGTCGCAAGCTCACAGAGGGATCCGGACGACCGTAGAGTCACCGTGTCGACGTTGGGCCGGCTGATACATGGCGGAGCTCGTCAAGCGTGCACAAAAAACAGACAGGGGTGGTTTGGAGGCACGGAGAAACTGTGGTTTGTGTCTCCGAACGGCAAAAAGTCAACTGCTTGAGAGGAGACGCAAAAATGCACACGAAAAAGCGTTCCTTTGTGCGCACAATGGTGTGCCTCCCTACCGACTGAGCACGCCCACTGCCACCCCTCGCGGAACAGGATGAGGGCCGTTAATGGACAAGACATCGAAGAAGACAAAACATGAATCGATGGTCTAACGGACGAGAGCTGGATAGTTTTGTTTCAATGTCTCCTCTCAAGCGGCTGACGTTTTGCCGTAGGGAAGCGCTGACGCACGTTTTGGTCTCTGATTTAGCAGTAGACGAGACCACGATTCCCGCCGCACTTCTGATGCATTCCGAGAAACCCACAATACAAGATGTTTTTTGCGCGAAAAGTGATACTCAAATCTTCCTCTGGCATATTTTCGCTCGCAAATGTTTGGCAACAATTGGAGAATTACATGGGTCCCACGTGTGTCAGGAATTTTGACACGAGACCAGTATTTTGACACGAGACGACAGAATTTCGACACGAGAGGTTACGCCGCACTTTTTCATGTCAGAATCACAGGTCAGAATTTTCCAAAAACGTGGTAAAAATATTTTCACCTGAGGTATTTTGACACGAGAAAACCGCAAATTGACACGAGCGCCATCGCACACACACGAAGGCATCAACTCAGTCGACAAGCTCGCACGTAGCTTCCCGCACACCCACACACATGAACACAACGCTCCCGGGAGTACATCGCGTTAGGGGAACGTCAAGCCGCGGTTAGGATCGTGTGCGTTCATCGCGGGATCGAGAGCAAAACACACCGAGGTTGGTCTGTCTGGACTCTGGACTCGAAGCACACGGGTGATAACCACAACAGGAGCTAGCGGGGTGCCACGCCTGTGAAGGGAGAGGTTACAGTTGTTGGTGGAAGAGACGGTAGCTCTGGGCGCATGTACTAGGGGCGCGAAGCCGCTGGCGGTGGTTGGGATTCGGGGAGTGTAGTTCACGGAGTGTAGTTCTCGGGAGTCGAGAGGAAACATGTCTCCAGCATTGCTACGCCAAACATCGCCATCATCACGAGGAGAATGTCCTCCTCTCCAGCACACAGCAAGCAGAAAAACCTGCATGCACTCATCATACCGCTCGTAGCGGATGCTACCTCGCGCAAGGCGCGCCATCCCCTCGCACCGTGTCGGGTGCCGTGATGAGGGAGCGCGACCGTTAGGTTTCCCGGCGGTGCAGCGGTGCAGCTGGGGTTGATATTTTTTTGACTTGAGGTTGCGCCGCTGCTGGCCTTCGCCAGGCGACGTGCGGTGGAATACTTTTTCGTGTTATTTTACCAAACGTTACTGGTTTTCGTGCCAATTTGCCAACCGTAACCTGTTTTGGTGTCAATCTATCTCAGTCCAGAATTTTCGTGTCAATTTAACGTGGGAACCCAGAATTATATCCAAGACTTTGAAACCATAAACAAACATGGGTGTACGGGCGGGTGCGCAGCAGCAGTTTCCAGATTGATGTGCTGGGCGCACGACAGCGGCCGCAACTCCCTCTGCTTTCGTTGTGATGGATAGGGACACGGGCCAATTTACAGCAACAGAGTGCTTTGTCTCGTGTCATGCGGAGAGTTATTACGCGAAAAGGAAAACGTTGCTGTCGCGTACTGCTGTGTGCTTTATCAAGCGTGGTGCTGCTGCGATATCCACACACGTGCATCCAAAGCTGCGCCTCCACCATAGTTTGTTTGCGGTAGGTCTGCCCATACATGCCAACGCGTGTTGCTCG